CCCCTGGGTCTTCCCAGTCTCTGTGTTACACCTCCCTCTCCTTTCTCTTACAAAGGCACAAGTCCTAGATCCAGGATGATCTCGTCTTCAGATCTTCAGCTTAATTACACCTGCAAAGACACTTTCCAAATTTGGCCATATTCACTGGTACCAGGGGTCAGGATTTGGATATATCTTTTGTGGGGGACATAATTCGACACACACAGGTGGACTGTGGAGTGGGCCATGGAGAACAAAGTGTGTGTGGGCAGGTGCAAGGCATGGCGGTGGCAGAGAGCAAGCAGACTGCCACTTCGCCTAGGAAGGAGGCTGGGGAGGGTTCTGCAAGACCATTGATGGGGCTCTTGAAGGTGGAGTAGAGCGTGGGGGACATGGGGAGGACATTTCCTCCTCTAGAGGCAGAGGAAATGAAATAAGCAAACCACAGACCTGTCCAACAGCCTGGGGGCAGCTTCGGGTGTTTGAAGTGGCTGGAGTGTACACAAGGTGTGGAAGCGGGGAGAGGGAAGGCCAAGGAATGAGGAAGGGAGTCTGGACGCCACAGTGTGGTGTTTCACAGAGGAAATGCCTAATTGCTCATGTACTTTGCTTTATATTTGAGATTCTTGGTGGGGAATGTCAGAGACTGGCTAGTTGTTTATTTTTCCTTCTGGGCAAGTAAATGAACTACAAGTCCCAGGCTTCCTTGCAGTTAGGTGCCACCATATGACTGAGTTCAATGGAATGTGGGAGAGATGAGGTATGTCCCTTCTAGACAAGGTGATGGAAACCTTGACCTCCACACTCCCTCGTCCTTCATCTGCTTGCTGAACGCAGATGGGACAGCACGGGACTCAGCCCTAGATGGAGGAAGCCCAGCTGGTGGGATCACTGCATGGAGAACACCCTCACCCACCTGTGTTGGGCTATGTTGTGTGTTATTTCCTCCTTTAAAAAACTGTAGAGACTGGGTCTCACTATGTTGCTCAGACTGGTCTGGGCTCAAGCGATCCTCCCGCCTTGGCCTCCTAAAGTGCTGGAATTGCAGGTGTGAGCCACTGCAAGAGGCCCGTATTGTGTGTTATTGTGGGAAGCCACTCAGCGGTGGGAGTTTATCACAGCAGTGGCCTACTTTGACCTTAACAACCACTTCCCTGCTGCCAGCGCCAAGAATCCTCTGCAAACAACTGGATCACATTAGGTGAAGGTCTCTGTGGGGGACTGGAACGGGGCCAGATAGAGGCCTGGGCAGGGAGGAGCACATGTGGCTCGAAGAAGTCTCCATCTGCCCCGCAGGGGGTCAGGGGAGGTGGCCTGAGAAGGTTAAGTCCCATGGGGCCAGTCAGGGCAGGCATGCCTCCTAAGCAGATGCAAAGTAGATGGTTGTGGAGCCAAGGACTGGGAATTCCAGCTGGAAGTCTCTAGATGGGGCCCGGAGTCCTCAGCAGCCAGGGGGAGTAGCTGCTGCAGGAGTGCGAGGGTTGGAGGTAAAGGTCAGGCCCTCGGCCTGCGTCCAGATCAAAGCAGGCGCAGGCTGGAATCCAGGGACATGTCAGGGGCTCCCATAGAGCCAAACCCCCTGTAGGTCTCTGTGTGCTGCTTGGCAAGGGTGAGCATGAAATGAGAAGGCATATGCCACGTTGCCCTAATAAAACAGGCTGAAACCAGGACGCCCTGATGGAGGCAGCAGGCGTCATTCATTCATTTACGCATTCATTTATTCATCCACACACATTTTCTTAACACTTACTGTGTGCCCAGACCTGAGCCAGAGAGAGAGGAAGGCACTCAGCCCAGCGTATGTGCATCAAAGTGGAGCACACTCAGCACTCTGAAGGGAGGAGGGGGCGTAGAGGAGGGTCCTGGATGGCATTTTTCTGGAACCCAGAGCAGGTGGTTCTGATGACAGTGGCCACCCTGAAGTCAGCCCCTCCACCCCGAGGATGAGTCAGAGCAGGCTCACCAGCTAGGGGATGTGCTCTGCTCATTCACCAGTGAAAGCCTCCTCTGTCCCTCCTCCATAGGGAAGGACAAGGTCGTGCCCTGGGTGTTCAGGGGCCAGGAGGCTCTTAGTGGGTGTTAAATGCAATAATACTCACTCATCTTAGCAGCCTCTGCTTTGGTGCCCACTGGTAGCTCAAGAAGTCACACACACCCACACACCCACACACACCCACACACACAGCCCATGGGGTCTGGCAGATGCAATTAGCCTCTGGGTCCCTCAGAATTGGATGCAGGTGGCTAATTGTCCATGCTAGGAGGCAACTGTGGGCACAATTAGTCATGTCTCTTTCCCCACTCGGGGCTAGTAATGGGTGGAAATCTTTGGGGAGAGTGGAAATCGGAGGGGGCTCAGGCTCTCCTTGGCCCTGGGCTGTGACGGGCAGCTCTTCGTGACATTGCTCTTTCCTGGGCCTGGAAAAAGCTGTGGGGGAGAGTAAGGAGGGAAGGCAGAGGGGGCAGCTCTTCCGGGGATCTGGGCTGTGGTGCCCTCCATCCCCTGCCAGTCCCGTCAGCGCACAGGCGTCTGTGCATCCAAATTTGCTAATGATGCCCACCCCTTGCGTACGTGAAGCTTATTAGAGTTCTCAATGCCCTTTTGCATACATTATTGCATTGCACAGCCACATGACTAGGAGGAAGGCATAATTATCCCATCCCATTTTACAGATAAGAAAATGGAGGTTCACCTGGCAATTTGCCGAGCCTGTGTTCCAATGCAGGCCTGGCCAGGCGCGGTGGCTCACACCTGCATCCTAGCACTTTGGGAGGCTGAGGCAGGCAGATCACCTGAGGTCAGGAGTTCAAGACCAGCCTGGCCAACATGGTGAAACCTTCATCTCCACTAAAAATACACAAGTGAGCCGGGCATGGTGGCGCACGCCTATAATTCCCGCTATGCAGGAGGCTGAGGCAGGAGAATTGCTTGAACTCAGGAGGTGGAGGTTGCAGTAGTGAGCCAAGATCGCACCACTGCACTCTAGCCTTGGCAACAAAGTGAGACTCTATCTCAAAAAAATAAATTAAACAAATTAAATAGAACGCAGGTCTGCCCGATGCCAAGCCCGTTTGCCGCTTTTCTGCTGCGTCGTGCTGCCTCTTGTCCTTCCTGCCCTTACTTTCTAGTGGGAGCAGAAAGGGCTCCCCAGAAACTGGACGATGGCTTAGAGCCGAGCACACTTGGGAAGCTCCCGAGGTAAAAGTTGCTCCAGCAAACAAGTTCTGCAGCACTCCCCTGTTCAAACCCCGTCCAGGTGCGGTGGGGGGTACAGGGAAGTGGTAGCACAATCCCTGCTTATCAGGAGGTTACAGTCCAGTGGAGAGAATCAGCTATGTACATATATCCATTCTGTGAGAGAGAATGTGAAAAGGGCTCTTCCCTGAATCCAGAAACATATTGAGTGACTTTGGTGTTGCCTCGCTGGGTCTCAGTTTCCCCGGCTTTTAGTTTCCTCCCTAGGGTGTTGGCCTCATAGATGACTTCAGTTCTTTCTACTGATTTCCAACAGAGCTGTGGATTTCAAGAAGGAAGAGGTTAATTCTGGTAGGGGTAGGAGGATGGGGGAGGTGCAGGAAGAAGCGGCATCTGAATTGGGCTTGAGAGGGGAGACTGGAGAGCAGGGCTGCATCCTAACCCTGGCTATGGCTGTAGTTGTGAGTGGCAGCAACCCAACTTTCGGGCATTGAAGGGAATGTGCTGACTGGCGTGTCATGGTAGCGGGTCTCCAAAGGCAGCTTCTCAATGACTCATGCCTTCCGGATTCATGCCCTTGTGTAGCTTCCTCTTTGGATCCGGGTTTGCCCTGAGACTTGCTAGTAACCCCTGGAAATGGCTGGTAACCCACAGAAATAATGCAACTGGCCTCCAAGGCAGAAGTTGCAGCCCTCACCCTGTTCCTTGGAACACTCACTCTAGGGAAAGTCGGATACTAAGTAGGAAGTCCTGCTCTCCCAGGCCTCGAGCTGTGAGGAAGTCCACACGAGCCATGTGGAAGGCTGCATGGAGAGAGATGCCTGGCCAGCCCCCAGCTCATCTGGCTTGATTGGCATCTGAACACAACAGAGTCAATGATACCGAGCAAGACCACCTAGCTGAGCTCATCAACCCACAGGACCATGTAGATAATAATAAATGACTGCTTTACACCGCTGTATTCTGAGACGGATTGTTTGCAGAATCAGAATACATATATAATGTAAAAGTTCAGGGAGACCCAATTTCAGGCATTGCTGGACCCAGGAGCTCAAAGGATATCACTGGGTCTTGTGTTTTCCCTGTGTCATGTCTTGCTCCCTTGTGCCGTTTTTTTTTCTAAACCATCTCTCTCCACTGCCTGTCCCCTAGAACTGTCAGACTAGTTTCACCCTGCTTCCAGCAGTACCAGTGAACAGACCTACTGTTGCTCACTGCTTTCAACAAAAGTCCTGGAAATACACCTCACTGGCTGGTAACAGGCTTCTTCTTGAAACGTTCCTGATGGGGCCAGAGGGGAGGGCTATGGAAGGAGCATTCTGTACCCTCCAAGATGGAATGAACATCAGCTCTGCCCAAATCGAGTCCTGAATATGGGGGAAAACACCTCTTAAAAGATCTCTAGGCTGGGTACGGTGGCTCATGCCTGTAATCCCAGCACTTTGAAAAGCTGAGGCAGGCAGATCATGAGGTCAAGAGATCAGGACCATCCTGGCCAACATGGTGAAACCCCGTCTCTACTAAAAAGACAAAAATTAGCTGGGCATGGTGGCACATGCTTGTAGTCCCAACTACTCAGGAGGCTGAGGCAGGAGAATCATTTGAACCCACGAAGTGGAGGTTGCAGTGAGCCAAGATTGTGCCATTGCACTCCAGCCCAGTGACAGAGCAAGACTCTGTCTCAAGAAAAAAATATATATATATCTAAGGGAAATACCTATTACTGAGGACCCTGGATAGGCACAAGTAGATGGCCGTTTCTGTGACCTTGTATAAGACACATAACTTTCCTAAACCTTTGTTTCCTCTCATTCTAGAAAAAAAAGATGTTCTTTAAAATCGTTAATGTATCACAGGGCTTATGTTTCAGTTTGTTTTCTGTTCTGTTTTAAACAGAAAATAAAAGGAGTGTAAGCTCCTTTTCTCATTTCAAAGTTGCTACCAGTGTATGCAGTAATTAGAACAAAGAAGAAACATTCAGTAGAACATTTTATTGCCTAGTTGACAACATTGCTTGAATGCTGGTGGTTCCTATCCCTTTGACACTACACAATTTTCTAATATGTGTTAATGCTACATGAAAAACGCCCTGATTCCTAGTGCCAAAGTTTCAACTTAATGTATATACCTGAAAACCCATGCATTTGTGCTTTTTTTTTTTTTTTTTTTTTTTTTTTTTATGGTGCTTGAAGTAAAACAGCCCATACTCTGCAAGTCCATCTCCGTTGTTCTTAGGCATTCTATCTTTGCTTAAATTGTTGAAGGATGGTGATTTGTTTCATGGTTTTTGTATTTGAGTCTAATGCACATTCTAACATGATAGAGGCAATGCATTATTGTGTAGCCATGGTTTTCTGGAAAAGTTGATATTTTAGGAATTGTATTTCAGATCTTAAATAAAATTTGTTTCCAAATTTCAAAGCAAAAAAAAAAAAAAAAGAATATAATTCTTGTCCTGCCCAACTCATTGTAAGGCTCAGGTTTGAAACAGCATAGCAAGAAGCCTGTGAGAGCTGTCACAGAAGCAGTGTCTACCTGGAAGAGGGACTGTTCGCACCTGTAGCCATCTGGAGATGGCTCAAAACTGAGCAGGACAAGGTGTGATTCCCCTAAACCCAAATCCTTTCATAGAGAGGAAGAGAACTAAAACTCACTGTTTCCAATCAGAAGGCAAAACGGAGTGACCTCTCAGCAGGAGACATTTATCCTGTGTTTCCTGGAGTCATGCATTTCTGTACATTGACAAAGTTTAGGTCATCTGAGGATCCCTGGGAGTGAAAGGTCTCACACTGAAGGGAGTGGGAAGAGGCTTTCTCAAAGACAAAAGCACACCTTACCAAGGTAAGACAGAGATATCTTTGCTGGAAGGAAGAGGTTTCCCCCAAACCTGAAGAGGGATCAGAGCCACTGAACAGGAGGCTCAATCTAGGATGATCAATTTTACTGGAAGGCATATTATTTTTCTTTATTGATTATTCTCCAAAGGCTTTGAACATACCTAAAAAAGGGGGACTTTTATGTTAGTCAAGGACACAGGGCAAAACCACAAAGTGGTATCAAAAATAAGGGTGACTACATGCTGGGGAGCAGAAAACCAGCACTCTTTCCACTGTGAAAGCAGCTCAGCTCTTGAGAGTCCAATTATTCCAATCTGGAATGCAGTAGACGTGGTATGAATTCCCTCACCCATGTGATAATGCTTCCTTCGACTTATTCATTCATTCACCTAGGCCTCCACCCAGTAACTGTTCACTTAGTCAACAATCCAACAGGTCATATCCACACCAAGGTCAGCTAGGGCAAAGCTGCTATGCCTGGTAGAGGCTAGGAGAGAAATTCTCAGAGTAGAGAAATGGTTAAAATAAATCAAAATGAATCTGAGTTGGCTGTGGTGCTTTTTCTTAATGACACACAGGAAACTATAAACCAGCCATGCTACATAATTGACCACTGAGGATTTTTCACTCAGTCAGTTTGAGATGTACCGAATCCAATATCATATCAGTGATTTGATTTGTTAATAATCAAATTGCAAATACCTTTTCATTTGGTTTCAAAAAGCAAACAGCCATTCAGAATAATTTTTATGGGTCTTGGAATGCAATATAAATTTAAAATATTGTGTTTGCAAGTCCTATTGGCATGACCGTATTATAATTTATATTTGCCTATTTTGATGTACAGTGGCATAATGAAACTTTAAAAAATATATCCTGCAAAGCTGCATCTAAGCCCAAGCCAGCAGCACAGATTAATGTAAGAACATCATGGGGATTCTTTACATATTTTTTTTTATGGAGATTTCTAGAGAATGTTCTACTCACCAAAACTTTAACCTAAGCAACATTTGCAAAGACTTTCAGAATCCATCTCTTGTCACTGTTCCAGGCACATTGCCTGATGCCTCTCTTCCGCCTCACTTCCCCCTTCCCATGCATCCCCAGTCCTGGCCCCCTATTTGCAATTTTATGAAGCTCTCATGTGAGTACATGTTTGCATTCTGTTTTCTGTTTCCTCCATCTATAATGCCCTTCTTCCCCTTCTCTGCTTGGAGAATATCTCTTAGACCTTCTTCAACTTCTGGCTAACATGCTATCCCTGCTGGGAACCTTCTCTGACACCACCAGAAGTTATTACTTCTATTCTTCCATAGCAATTGAAAAGGACCTCTATTATAGCTTTGTCACAATGTGTTACTGTTATTTGTTTACATGCACAAGATTCTGAAGTCCTTGACAGCCTGACCATGATGTGTTCAATTCAAAAACCCCAGTGCCTACCACCATGCCTGGTGCATAATATACACTCTGTAAATGTTTGCGTAATGGTGCTGTGAATGAATGAGTGGGTAGATGGATGGATAAATGGACAGAGGGATGGAAAGATGGGGATGCAGCAAATAAATGGATGGATGGAAGGAAGGATGGGTGGGTAGTTGGAAGATGGGTAGATAGGTGGGTGGATGGATGATGGGTTGGTGGATAGATTGACAGAACAGATCCTCCTAGAGGATAATGCTTTCCCTGACACTGGAAGTATGTAAGCACAGATTGTGGAGAGACTTTAGGACATAAATGGGTTGTTAGACAAACTAATCTGTTGGATGTTTCCAACAAGAAAACCCCTGCATTCCACCTCATTCCTGTAGAGCTATGCCTCAGCACAGAATTGCAGTAGAGCCTTACTTTACTTTTAGAGCCTATTTTTTTTTGTTTGTTTGTTTTTTGTTCTTTGGAGACAGGGTTTTGCTCTTCTTCTCAGGCTGGAGTGTGGTGGCACAGTCATAGCTCACTGCATCCTTGAACTCCTGGGCTCAAGTGATCTTCTCACCTCAGTTTCCTGAGTAGCTGACACTACAGGTGTGCACCAGCAAGCCTGGCTTATTTTATTTTATTTTATTTTTGTAGAGTTGGGTTCTCACTGTGTTGCTCGGGCTGGCCTTGAACTCCTGGCCTCAAGCGATCCTCCTGCCTCAGCCTCCCAAAACACTGGGATTACAGGCATGAGCTGTGGTGCCCAGCTGAGCCTATTTTTCAAAAAGGATCAGGAAAGGTCTCCTTAATCAGATAACATTGAAACAGCCAGGCCAAGGGAATAGCAAGAGATGAGCATGCCTGCAATGTCCAGGAACTGCTAGGAGTGTGGCTGGAACAGAGGGAAAGATTTGAGATCTTCCGCTTTAGGGCTTCTTTTGTGCCTTGCTTGGCATTCTAGAGAATGTTCCCCTCTCTTTTATTCATACGCTTTTATAGTTTAGAATTTTACTATTAGCTGTTTGATTTAACTAGAATCCATTATTGTATATGGTGTGAGGTAAAGTTCTAAAATTATTTCTAGATGGAGGACCAATTATCTCAAGGTTATTTCTCAAATAGTCTGTGCTCTCTACTAATGTAAGGTACCATCTTTACCACCAACAAAATTGTCATTTATACAATGGTTCTTCTGTATTCTCTCGTCTGTTTCTGTGTCTATTTCTAGTACTTTAGCTACTAGAACATGTGAGATGTTTGATGTTTTTATTCTTCTTGGACTCAAACAGATGGACTTGAAAATCCCTTTATCAAGTTCTATAAACATTTTATTGGGAATACATAACATTTAAAAGTGAATTTGAGGAATACCGACATCTTTATAGCAGAGTATACCATCTAAAAATAGTATGCTCTTGATTTTTTAGGTCTTCTTATATCATTGAGAAAGCTTACAGTTTTTTTTTTTAAATAGAATGTGCACATTTTTCGTAAGTTTATTTCTACATATTTGTCAGCATTTTTTTTTCTTTCTGTGAACAGGATTTTTTTCCCATTATATTTTCTAATTGGTCATTTGTTTAGAAAACCTATTATCAGAATGAATAGCTAATGCATGCGAGGCTTAATACCTAGGTGATGGGTTGATAGGTACAGCAAACTCCCATGGCACACATTTACCTGTGTAAAAAACCTACACAGCCTGCACATGTATTCCGGAACTTAAAATTTTAAAAAAAGCAATACAAAAGAAAATCTATTATATGTATTCCAGAAGCTTATTGAAATCTCTTATTCTTTCTAGTACTTCTTCAGTTGAAAAGCAAATGATCATATTGCCCGCACAAAATGGGAATTTAGATTTCTTGCTTTCTTATACTTATTATTTTATCACTCTTCTCACCTAATTGTTTTGACTAGTACCTCCAGCTAAATGTTGTATAATAAAGATGATAGCAGGTATCCTTTTCATGTTCCTGACTTTAATAGGGATTCTTCTAACGATTTATGATTGGAAATTATGTTTGTGGTGATTTAGGGCATAGGCTAAATGGTACAAGAAAAAGTCTCCAAAATACGATGGCTTAAATAAGATAGAAACTAATTTATCTCTTACATAAGAGTTCACAGTGATAGTCCAGGGTAAGCAGCCCAGGGCTGGTTCTGCTAGTCTCTCCAGGTAGCTTCCAAACATGCTCAGTCATTGCTGTTTTCCAGCTAGCTGGAGATGGGAAAGGGATGTCGAATGAAAACAGCTCCCTCTTAAAGCAGTAACAAGGCAATTGTAGGTATCCCCTCTATTCACATCCTATTGGTTGAAATTAATAACCTGACCACTCTCAATGGCAAAGGAGGCTGGGAAATGTAGTCTCTAATTTAGTGACCACATACCCACCTAAAGCTAGGGGTTAGGAACAATTACAAAAGGGAGGAAGTGAGAATGGATGATGGGTGACCAGAGCAATCAATGCCACAGTGTTCTTTATCAACATAAGGAAATTTCCTGCTATTTCCAAGTAATAAACAGTTTTGTGTTTTTAAAGTTAAATTTGGGGATTAGGTATTTTAGTTTATTAGATTATTTTTCACCATATTTTGAGGTGACCATATGATTTTCTCCTGTAATCTGTTAATAAAGTGAATTTCCTAATGTTGAACCGTATTTGCATTACTGGGATTAGACTCTACTTGATCAAGTTGTGTGATTTCCATCACAGACCATGGATCATATTTTATTTAGGATTTGCTTCTATGTTTATAAGTGGTACTGACCTGTAGTTCTCTTTATCTGTGCATTATTCTTGTTTTTAATGAAGTGATGCCAACCTGAAAGGTGGACTGGGAAGCTTTCTGCCCTTCCTATGCTCTAAAAAAGTCAATAGATCTGAAACTATTTTTTAAAGATTTGGGGGAATTTGTTATTAAAATGATCTGGCATGGTGATTTTTAAAAAAGATATATCTTTGACTACTGTGGCAGAGACTGCTAATTGTCCACAACCTTGATTCTCTCCTTTTTCTAAGATAAGAGAACACTTGACTTGTAGCTGAGTGAAAATTCTTAGGAGATACTTTCCCAGCTTCTCTGTGGCTAGGGGTAGCCAAGTTTCAAAGCTCAGGCTGTTAGAGGTTTCAGATTTTTGGTTGTGAAGGCAAATGATGTTTGTGTGCCATTTCGGGCACATGCCTTTAAATGTGTAAGAGTTTCCCTTCTTTCCTCAGTTTACCACCTTGAAGGGAGACTGAGAGGTGGGTCAGGTAGCAAGTTAGGGCGGCAGATTCAGAAGGCAGAAGGAGCCTGAGTTCTTAGCGCCATGAAGCTGCCATGCCAGACTCTAGACAGTTAGGTGAGTGGAAGTTTCTCTTTTCTTTGAGCCACTTATTTTGGGTTTTTGCTATAACTGCTAAGCCTACATTTAATCCATGTAAGCCAGGGGTCCCCAACCCCTGTGGTGGAAGGAGACAGAAGGAGGAGGGCATGGCAGGCAAGTGAGTGAAGCTTCCTCTGTGTTGGCAGCCACGCCCCATTGCTGGCATTACCCCCTGAGCTCCGCCTCCTGTCGTCGCTGGCTACATCAGATCCTCATAGGAGCGTGAACCCTATTGAGAACTGTGCATGTGACGGATCCCTGTGGAGGGAGCCACAGCACCACAAGGCAGCCACAAGGAACTCAGGGACCCCCACGTGATCGTCAAGAAGAACTTACAGTCCAAGGAACCGAATTCTGCCGACAACATGAATTGCTTGGAAGAGGTCACCAAGCTGCAGATGAGAAAGCAGTCAGCCAACACCCTCAATGTAGCCTTGTGAGGCCCCAAGCAGAGTCCTGTGACACCATCATGACACCTGACAATACATGGAGGTTGTTTCAGGCAGCAGTCCCAAACTTTTTTGGCACCACGGGGCAGTTTCGTGAAAGACAATTTTTTTTCACAAACCAGGAGTTGGTGGGGGATGGTTTGGGGATGATTCAAGCACTTTACATTTATTGTACACTTTATTTCATTACTTTCAATGGCAAAACTCACAATTACTTTTGCACCAACCTGATAATATTATTACAATGTAATAGAACTGAAATAATTACACAACTTACCATAATGTAGAATCGGTGAGAGCCCTGAGCTTATTCTAGACAGTCCCTCAGGGAGTGATGGGAGACAGTGATAGATCATCATGCATTAGATTCTCATAAGGAGCATGCAGCCAAGATCCCTCCCATGCACAGTTCACAACAGGGTTCATGCTCCTATAAAAATCTAATGGAGCCGCTGACTTGACAGGAGGCAGAGCTAGCAATGCGGAGCGGCTGTAAATACAGATGAGGCTTCTCTCACTTGCCTGTCACTCACCTCCTGATGTGTGGGCCGTTCCTAGTAGGCCATGGACTGGTACCGGTCCATTACCCGGGGGCTGGGGACCCCTGGTTTTAGGGCACTATGCAGCAATAGAACGCTAATGCATCATAGGAAACCTACTGTACAGAGTATGAGGGTTCGTATGTGTGTGTTTACACTGGTGTTATAGCATTCCATTTGGGTTAGTCCAAGATAAGCTACTGGCAGATTTAGTGTCTAGTGAGGGCCCACTTTCTGGTTCGTAAGTAAAGCTTTCTTTTGTGTCCTCACAAGGTGGAAGGGGCAAGGCAGCTTTCTGGGGTTCTGATAGGGGCCCTGATACCATTCCCAAAGGCCTCACCTCCTAACACTGTAATCTTGGGGATTAGAGTTCCAGCATACGAATTGTGAAGGGTCACAAGTATTCAGACCCTAGCAAGTATTTTTTGTATTCAGAGTTTTATGTAATTTTTCTTTTTTCATTGTTAACACTTTCGTCCTATAATTTCTAAGGATTTTGGAGGCAGAAGAAATGTGGGCTTATTACAGCATATGGGCTTATTACCACATCTTGCTCCAACTTTATGGGATTTATTAAAAATTGAAATTGACCTGAGAATGGAAGTTCCTCTTTTGCTGGACAACAAAAGAACTCCACAATGGCTGAAAAAGTTCCACATTTTTAAAGGCAACAGCAGAGATCCTACAGATAAGGACTTCAGTACAAATGGACAAAGCTCTCTTGAGTTGTAAAGTCATGAAAACAAAGCCAAAACAAAGGCAAACAGATTGAACTAGATCGAAATTCTCATTTGCATGTTAAAAATTATAAGAAGACTAAATGTCCAACAATAGAAAACAGTCAACTGATAGTAGGGCAGAGTCCGACACACCGCAGCCCGGCGTCTGGGAACCTGCTTTGTTCATAGGCTTTCTCCGGGACACAGTGACGCCCATTTCTTTGCGTGCGGGCTGTGGCTCTCAATACAACAGCGGAGTTCTGTGCTTACAGCAGAGACTGTCCAACCCTCATAGCTTAAAATACTTACCATCTGACCCTTCATAGCACATGTGCTGATCTCCTAGCACAAACTTATGAAGAACTCTGCTAATATTGAAGAATATGATCTCAAGGAATTTTGAACAATGTGTGAGAACCATAAATGAAGTTAGGAAAGTGAGTACAAACTGTACATACGATTTTCCTGCGTAAAATTAGATTGACAGTACTACCTGCCTCCTGGGCTTGCTATGATGATTAAATGAGTTCATATTTGTGGCGTGCATAGCACAGTGTCTGTGCGTAGTTACTGACGTACATGCTTATTCATGTTAGTGGTAACAGTTGCAATTATGACCTTAAATATGTTGGGAAGACATGCATTACTAATGCTCTAATAATGTGTATTAAAGTTAAAAATAGAAAATAATTGGAAGGCCAAACACCAGATTGTTCACTTTGATCCTGTCTGAAAGGAATGAGTGATTTGGTTTTTTTTTTGACAGAGTCTTGCTCTGTTGCCCAGGCTGGAGTGAAGTGGCATAATCTCAACTCACTGCAACCTCCATCTCTCAGGTTCAAGAGAGTCTCCTACCTCAGGCTCCTGAGTGACCGGGATTACAGGCACCTGCCACCAGCCCAGCTCATTTTTGCATTTTTAGCAGAGACGGGGTTTCCCCATGTTGGCCAGGCTGTCTCAAACTCCTGACCTCAGGGTGTCTGACCGCCTTGGCCTCTCAAAATGCTGGGATTACAGGCATGAGTCACTGTGCCCAGCATTGAAATGAGTGATTTATATTTTTACTTTTATACATTTTGAATTTTTCAAAATTCCTCTATTTTATGTAGAGATAATATTGCATGTATTATTTTTATTGTTATGTTTTGTCATTAGGTTGATCCATTTGAAATGCTGGTATTTGACCAGTTTTGAGTTATGCAAATGAGTTTCATATAGTTAAAACTAAAATTTTATTTTCAGAAAGAGAAAGCTAATAAAGAATGTAATTGAAAAAGAAATCAGCCCTAATATGGTGGGGGATTTGGGGCAAAAACAGGACAAGAAGCAGCTCTTCTGTTTAGATTGAAAATCGAAGGGGACGTCATGAAGGTCTCAAGTCACTGAAAGAAGCTGAAACTAGGGATTTTGGTGGCAGAAGAAATGTGCATGTGGGCTTCTTGCACACCTCACTCCAACCTTATGCAATTTATCAAAAGTTGAAATTGCCCTGAGACTGAAGTTCCTCTTTTGCTGAACAACAAGAGAAATCCACAGCGGCTGAAAAATTTCCATGTTTTCGTAAAGGCACCAACAGAGATCCTATAGATGGAAAGCAAGGAGGTAAAGCACTGAATGGACCTTGGGGACCCACATTCATACATGGTATCAGAGAGGCACTCCTGGAGAGATGCCATAGAGGGCACCACCAGGAGGGAACACTACACTTGCAAGAACAAATGGGCAAACAGAGGAAGTGAGGTCAGCTGAAAGAAGAGGGGAAGAGCCTGCACAGGTCTGCCTCCGAGTGTAGACAAGGTGCCCTTCTTCCCCTGCTCCCCTTTCTTTGTTCCTCCCTCCCTTCCTCCCTCCTTCTTTCCTTCCTTTCCAGCCTTGCCTCCCTCCCCTCCATCCATCCTTTCTTTCCTCCCTCCCTGCTTCCTTCTTTCCTTCCCTCCTTCCTCCTTCCCTCCTTCTTTCCCTCCTCCCTCCTTCCCTCTTTCCTCCTTCCTTCCCTTTTCCCTCCTTCCCTCCCCCTCCCTCCGTCCCTTCCTTCCTTTCTTTCCTTTCTGCTTTCCTCCCTCTTTCTCTTTTTCCTCCTTCCTTCTGTCCTTCCTTCCTTCCTCCTTTCCTTCCTCCCTCTCTCCCTCCTTGTTTCCCTCCTCCCTCCTTCCCTCCTTCCTCCCTTCCTCCCTCCTTCTTTCCTTCCTTTTTTCCTTCCTCCTTCCTTCCCTTCTTTCTCCCTCCCTCCCTTCCTTCCTTTTTCCCTTCTTTTCTTCCTTCCCTCTTTCCTTCCTTTCTTCCCTCCTTCGTCCCCCCTTTCCTTCTTCCCTCTCTCCCTTTCCCCCTCCTTCTTTTCTTCCTCCCTCCTTCCTCCTCCCTTCCTTCCTTT